GGCGGGAACCGTTCCGAGAGGCGAGAGCGCCGCCTCGTGGACGGCCGCGCGGCGTTCGCCTCTTTTATTTTACTGTTTTCACTTGGAATTGAGGTGCCACCGCCCGCGATCGGCGCGATTCCTTTCGTTTTTCTCCGTAAGGTTCTTCTCCCTGCACCTCGCCTTTTTGTCCCGTTTATTCTAGGGTGTTGGAGTGCTATTGGTGTCCCTTTGCACCCCAGCTTTTGCGAGCATGCAATTTTCACTAAATAAAACTCAACTTCTGATTTTTCGTAATTTGCATCAAACTCTGACTTTGCAGGTTGTCCATACTTCCCTAGGGAATATCAAGAAATTTCTCTAAATGTTGCCGGATACAGAATTCTAGGTTAGTGGGTTCCCTCCCCCCAACTCCTTTAAATAAAAACTTCACTCCGTTCTGCTCTTGCTTTTATGGTTTCTGGAGAGAAATCCGATGTACAATCATGAGACAGGTTTTCTCTGGGTACAATATGCTATTAATTCGTAACATGAAGCCACTGTTAGGTGATGTTGCAGACCTCAGGTCTCTTGCGTGGCTATTTTGTTTTTCGTTGGACTTGGAATGGAGTTGGTCGTCCGCCTCATTTTGGGGCAAAGCATCGTCCTTGGTCTAAGCAATGTCTCCCTCATTTCATTTCACAATTGTTTTCCCCCTTCACCCCGGTTCTTGCCATTGCCTTCCCTCTTCCCCTCTGCCGATACCGTCGTTTTCGTATGTATTTTTAACTTACTTAAACTGTATTTGCTATTGGTCGTTTGTTTTAAATTCAATATTATATTTCGGTCCACCCATATTGTTCTAGGTTATAGTTCTAATTCCTGCCCAGCATCCCTAGCAGGCAGGGATTTTTCTAGACGTCTTTGGTGATGGACACTTGGTCCCTCTACTTCCCACTACTGTGATTGGTACTGGGATGAGCATCTTTGAACTTACCCTCAAGTAGGTCTGTGCTGTTTCTCTGGGGGCATCCATCCAAGAGCGAGACTTCGAGTCACGGGGCGAACAGCAGCGCCAGAGGGATCCCACGCCTAGGTCCACACGAGCACTTGTCATTCTCAGATTTCTATTGTTTGTCAGTCTGATACTTGGAACTCCGCATCGTAGTTTTAATCTGCGTTTCTCTGGCTACTAGGGAGCAAATGCTTTTCCTTAGACACTCAGATCCATTTCCTGCTCACTACCTCACCTTCCCTTGAATTACCCAAATCCATACTGCTTATTTTTTTATTGAGTTCATGTTTTATTTTTTTGATTATTTATATGTATACATAATCAAAATATATATTTTTTGACAATATCATCTGGAGTTTATTAAAGTTGCAGACTTCTGAGCCTACTCCTAGATTCCAACTATGAAGGTCTGGGGCAGGGTCCAAGAAATTGAATTTTTAAGAAATATCCCACGGGTGGTCTAAGGACTGCACCCTGAGAAACCAACTGATCTATTCGTGAATATGAAGTAACTAAGTTATGCCAGGTTAAGGCTAATCTTCATTGTAGGGAGGGATAGAGAAGGAACGAGAAGTCAGTGCCCTCGTGGGGTTTGTATTCTAGTGGGGATAGATAATATTAGGCATACGAATAAATGTAGACAGCTAGTGATACTGTCGTAAAGGAAATAAAGCAGGTTGACAAGAGACGTGGCATGAGCTTGGGTGGCAGGGAGGGCCTCTGAGGTCACTGTGGAATGACAGGAAGGAGTCAGCCAGTAAACACTAGAGGAAAAACAGCCAGATGGATCTTCCTTCTTCCCCGAGCTCCCCTCAACCCAGGCCCCAGTCCAAGAGTATTTCAAAGAAAAGCAAGTCCAGGACAGTGAAGCCCCCGCCTTTATTATCGAGGCTTTCAGAGCTAGGATAGATCAGGCAGAGACCACCACAATGCGGAGACATCTAGATGGCTCCTTCTCCTCTGGCCACGGTACCTGCAGGTTTCCTCTGGCTGGGGGCAGAGCTCTAACCCTGCTTTTTGAGAAACCTGGCCCCTACCCCATCTCCTTCACTCAAATGTCCCTAAAGTCTCAGGCCAAGCCAGATATATAGATATAGATATACAGATGTATTCTAGATGGTAATGACCTTAGGAATATTTTAGAAAAATATGAGTTCTTTTGATATTCTAGTAGTGCCCGAACATATACGTTTTGATTACATATCACTTTATTGTAAGAGCCTTTACTTACATGTTATGTAAGTGCCTTATGCAACTAAAAAAAAATGTAAGGTTACATTACCTATGAATTTCATTTCAGGACAGTCCAAAGGGCATGTGTTTTAAGAATAATTTTTATTTGCAGTTTAAAAATATGCCAGTTTGTAATATTTTACATTTAATGTCAATTAATTTTTAGTGCCATTTTAAACATTTACCTATAACCCAATAAATCCCAAGAGATCCTGATCTTGTGATCGGGATTCTCCCAATACCAGTTTTTAAGAATATAAACCGATTTGAGATGAGAGTGTTTACATGTAAAAAATGATGTGCATTTTTTAAACCACGTATGTAAAACAAAACACACCTCAGTAATTTTTGTATCTTTGTGAATACTTTGTTTCCTGACAGAATATTGAAATGTATGTTATTTGGAAGACAACCAACATATAGCCAACTGAAATGAAATGCACACGAGGTTTATGCGATATCAGACACCCACGAGACCTGAAATGTGAACTGAATCTGCCCTACTGGGAGCATCAGGATTTGCAGAGGCGACGTTGGCCCTGTGTGCCCATTACTGCTGTCTGTGAGTACCCGAGCCTTCCACAGAGCATACTGTGCTGCTGTGTCTACTAAATCAGTGAATTACTAGGGTTTCCATTTTAGCAAAGTGCAAAGCATTACTTCAATCGTCGGCCTTCTGACAGAGGCCAGTATCTGTTTTTGTAAAAGAATACTTTCTTCTCTTTACTAAGTTCGTTAATTAAGTCTTATTGGGAAATTATCCATCAGAATGCAGTGCAGGTCATCTTTATATTACAAAGGAAATCAATGAAGACAATGAGATGAACATCGCACTTAAAAAAAAATCCCAAATTCTCACATTTGGTGCAATGAAATTCGCACGCAGTCTTTTCCTAGGAAAGGCCTTTTCCGGCTTGCTTCCAGACTTCTTTTACTCCTTTAATGCTCTCTTTTTTCACGCATTTCCAGTATTCTTGTATACTCAGTTGCTGTGGTACCTGTTAATGAAAAGTGGAAACGGAGGGTCATTCTCCCCCAGGTTAAGCATGGCCGCGCGTGTGCGACGTGACTGGTCGTTTCCTGCATCTGAGGTGGATTACGTCATAGAAGGTGACTGTGACAGGACCGTGCAGAGAGGGTGAGGGGCGACACACGGACGTGACACAAGTGTCCGCAGGGTGGCGGAGGGCGGAGGGACCGCGCACGCGTGGAGCTTCCTCCCTCACAATGAGGACGACTCTGGGCGACCTTCTTTCTCATATTGGTTTTAAAATGTAATGATTTCATAACGTTTCCGTTTTGTAACATTTTGTAACGTTTCTCTTTTCCTGGGGAACGCTAGCTACGGTGGAATACAAAGTACAAGTCTAAAACTTTGATTTAACTTTGGCTAAAACTAGAAACTGTAGGTCGTGATATATTTGATGGGAAGCCTCGAGAAGACATAATGCACGTAAGTGTGCGCTTCGTGAATTAAAAATACCGTGTGGCCGTTATTCCTTTCAACTAAGGGGGAAAGCACAGGTCAGAAAACTAATTCTCATAATAATTCTTTCTGGTAGATTCTATTAGTTTCCTCATTGTACAGATGAAGAACGTGAGGCTCAAAAACAGGTGATAAAGCTGGGATTTGAATCTAGGTGCATCTCACTACAGAGCCCGAAGTAAAATTCTAGGCTGTGATTTCTGAATAGTTTGTGATTAGATTCAGTTTAAGAAAAAGGAAAGAAAAATGTCAGACCTCCATCCTGTGTGTAACGATGTCTCTTTATAAATGACGCAAACGCCACTTAAGATGATACATTTGCTCAAATTCTAGGCAGCACCGTCCATTTAATTACAGGTAAACACGCAGTTACTAAAAAACTCAGAATGTTACCCATAATCCCCGGTGCATCCTGTTTTTCATCACTCCAAGAAACTCCCCGTGGCTGAGACACTCGTCGCCATCCAAATCAAAGATCTTGAAGACGGCGTCCAGGATGTTGTCGGACAGCTCTTGTCCCGTGGCAACTGTGACGGCTCTCCTGAACTCCGCTAGAGGGGAAACAACATAGCTCACCCACCGCGCGACACAGAATTCTGTCCGGGTGGACAGAATCCGACTTTCACAACTTGAGAAGAAAAAGACACATCTCCACACTTATTATATGGGAAGTAAAGATGGAAATATACATCAAGAAGGCATTCAAATGATAAATCAGGCTTAGAAATGCCATGAAAGTAACAGTAAGATGAGACGAGCAGCTATTTTAATCTAATCAACGTTTCAAACTCAAATATTCCCCCCTCCTTCTTGGGGCAAAATGCGAAAGTAAAAGCAACCAGCAACCGTTAGACGTGCGCCTCGCTGCTGTAAAAGCAGATGACCACACTGGGCTAGTGAGAAGGCCAATCGCTGTCTCGCGGATAAGTGGCTCCGTGACTGGTGTCCCCCAGGTGACACTGACCAGAGATGACACAAACCGAACCATTCATGGAACTTACCTAGTCTGACGGGGCGGTGGGCTAAACTAAACATCTGCATGGCAATAGCGAAGTCTTCCAAGTGGGTTGTAAAGCGACAGAATGACTTGAACTCGTCCAAACTTATGCTCTAATGGAACAATGAAAAGGAGCTTTCGTTACTTTGAAGCACATGAAACGATCTTCGGAACACGAGTGCGAGTTTTCTGTTCTGTCGCTGAGCTCATGACCTTCTCTTCTCCGAGGAGGTCTGTGAAGAGTCTGCAGTGCGGGATAGGCACAGATCCAGTCAGAGGCCGGAGGACCCGCGGTGAGCCGCCGGCCACTGTGTGCTGCGGTGCAAGGCATGCGCTGGCCTGTGCTGTGGGCAGAGCTGGGTCCCTTCCAGCCATGTGCGGGAGCCCCGGCCCCATGTGACTGCGTTTGGAGGCGGGCCTTTGGGGAGGTGAGTGAGGCTGGATGCGGGCATCGGGGCCAGAGCGCTGTCATTCGGTGTGGGCGCCGAGGCCCAGTGAGGACACAGCAGGGAGCTGTGCACAGGCCTGGAGGCCCAGCCCGGAGGACACGAAGTCGTGGCGTCAGCGGGGGTGCTGCGGTGTCGCTGAGGGGCCCGCCAGAGTCGTGGGCGCGGAGTCTGTGACTCTGCTACGTGGCATGCCCGCACCCCGAACGGAGCGGACGCCAGGCCCTTCCGGGGTTCCAGCCCCAAGGCCCCGCTGCAGGTTAGACACTGGGCTACATGCGAGGCCAGTGTCCTCCTGTTCCTCTTTCCTTCTGACTTTAACGGTCATCGTTGGCAGGATGAGGGGAGGTGACACTTATTTTTACGGCTGTCCCCGAGTTCCTGCCTCTGCTTGCTCAGTCTCCTTTTTCTCTCCAACGTTCCACGCTCTGACCCATCTGGCACTCACTGCCTGGTGCTCGGTGACCTGGAGACGACTGACCTCGGTTTCCTCCTCCACGCCAGCGAGTGTCTGATGCCGCTCGTTAGTAATTCGGCTTTTCCCCCACTAATTTGTGATGTGACTTTACCTATGCTAAATTCCCACGTCTACCTAGGTCTCTCTCTGGACTTCATATTCTGTTTAATTGATCTGTCAGATTCACCAACAGTTTTAGTCACCAACAGTTGCTGATACATTTTACAAGATTGGCATTTTTTTTCCAGAGAATATTTTTTTAGAGCGGTTTCAGGTCACAGCAAAACTGAGGGGAAGGCAGAGACGCCCCGCAGGCCCCGGCCCGTCACGTAAACGTCTGTGGCACTCTCACGGAAATCCGTACATGTTCACCGCGACCCGCCTCCCCTCCGAGCCCCGCTCGCAGCAGAGGGCGCTTCCGCAGTTAGGTGGGCTCGTGGGACCAGTCCTGCCAACGGCCGGGTCATGTGTCTCCAGGACAAAACGTTTAGTTGCCAGGATGTGACTCAGCCCTTCTTTTCCTACCCCAGCCTCTGACGGTGATGTTTTTTTTTCAGATGCTGGAGCTCCAAGATGGCAGAGCCAGGACAAGTCCGCGTCCCAGAGTGGCCCCGTGGGCGGTCTCCCACCCCCGATGTCTAGGCGGAGGCCTGGCAGGGCTGCAAAGGGTGCCTCTGCGCCAGGCGCGTGGGGCACCAGGCTGGGCCCGCGCTGTGCGAGCCGAGGCTGTTCGGACTGGTAAAGCCATTCCACTTACCGACTCATTTAAGGGAGAACTGCTGTATCTGTAACGCTGACTTTCTAGTCAGTCACAGGGAACGCCTCTGTCATTAAGTTTTATAGCTACTGAGACTTTAAAGTTTTTCCCAGATATTTCTTATTAAATTTATTTCTGATCATATATTTCTACTACAATTATAAATGGGCTCTTCGTTATATTTTATTATCTTTTTCTTCACTACAGAAATAGCTTTAAAATTATATAAAAACACATGCCCATTTTGAAAAGAATTTGGAACCAAAGTGTAAAATATATTATAAAAACAATACACAGAATGAGACTCGCCTGAACCTCACCACTGTGCATTAGTCGTCACTGCAGTTGGACAGCCGTGGTCTCACGTTCCGCACGCATCCACACGTGCGCTACTGGGATTTTCACACGGGACCGCCACCCCCGCCACCGCAGCACTGTAACAGGCCCTTTATGTCATTTTTATTGTTTCTAGTTGTTTTTCACTTTAAATCTCGTGTCTTCTAGGCACACGATCACATCATGTGCAAACGAAGTTTGAAAACCCTAGCACCTTGTCATGTGCACCGGCTAGAACTTCCAGAGCAACAGAAGGGACAGGGGTGAGTGTGCTCCTCTCGTTCCTGTCGTTACCGGAAAGGCTAAGCTCACGGCTGCCACACCGAGTGTGCCGCATGCAACAGTCCAGCCCAAGAAAACAGTACGTGGGCCACATCCTCCGACCTGACCCCACGCTCGAAAACACGCAGCGGCTTCGTCCTGGTTAAGGTGGAAGCCACTTTACTGGATTCCAAAGATGTCGGACTTACTACGTCCTGTCCATCACAAGCATAACGAAAAGGCATACGAACCTCTCCTGCCGACAGCCTCTCTCTCACATTTTTCCAATAAATGTCTTTATTTTCGGTGTTAGTGAAAAAAAGGAGCCACTCTGCAAAGTCTTCTTTCCTCATGAAACTCAAACCTTTGGAAAACTGGAGGAACTCCATTTCCTGGATCTCCGTCTGCAGATTCTCCATAAACCTAAACGTTAAAGCACACAATTAACGGAAGTAACCAGTAGCAGTCAATCGTGATACTGTCACTAGGGCTGCCAAGCACCTTCAGCGGCACCTGTGGAGTGGCTGACACGGTGAGTGGGTGAGTGGGTGAGTGGCGGGGAACCCGAGTGCGTGCAAAGGACTGTGGGAGCCAGGGCGCAGAGCCGCTGGCGCAGCCCCACACCTGCTCCAGCCTGAACCCGACGCCTGGTATGCCTGCACAAGTTGTACCTGCCAGCCACATCCCGATGCACCTAAAGGCTTAAGACAGTACGTAAAACACCACTCTGCTACGGCCATGGAAAATAAAATGGCATGGAGAGCAAAGTTTTTCCAATACAGAAAAATTATCAATAATCAGAAAAACTTAAAATTCAGTTGGGATACTGCTTTTAGAATGTAAATCATAATTAATGGTTCTTCTTATTTTTCAGATACCAAAATTGATCAATGTAATCAATGGCTTTGCACGAAGAGCTTAGATTTACCTAAAAATATTTATGATCTTTTGGACAATAACATGTCTACGTGACTCAACATTCGTTTTTATAATAATGCATGGCACTCTGATCAAACCATCATCAACAGCTTCTTGTGTAAGGGTCAAGCTGAAAGAATATCAGATTAAAAAACATTCCCTTTGAACAAGAACCCAGAAATGCCGCACTCGATTTATTTTTAAGCTGCGCCACGTGAAAAGCATCATCGTCTCCACGCGTTTTAACTCGCTGCAGACCCCTTTATTCACCTTTCTACACGTGAGACTCTGTACAGTCTGTCACGTCACGAGTGAACGAGGACACACGTGCAGCGCAGTGTGAGGGAGCGGCCACCACTAGCCATTGACTTGGTCTGGGTTCGATGGCTTCCTGTCAGCCTCAGAAGCACGGGGGCCGGTGGATGCCAGGCCTTCGAGCAGGCACGGATCCCTCCCACGGATCCCCCAGCGCCATGTGCCTTTCTGAGCCAAAGCAGAATTTCCTCTAACACGTGAAGCATTTCGAGTCTGGACTGATACAGCAGCAACGTCTTCTGCTGGTGTGCTTCTGCCTTTGTTTTACTGTGTTCTTGTACCGTGTCGTGACGACATGCGACTCTTCCTTATTGGGATTGTTAAAAGGATGCTTTACTTGCGAATGAGTGAACAATGAGTTAGGGAAGCAGAAAACATGGCACCAGAACAATACGAACTTGTTCCTTCCCGTTTTTTCTTCAGGCTCTGAGGCTGAAATATTATAAACTTAATTGCTGGTCCGCTACACATTGTCTGGTTTAAGCTACTTTCATCTTAACTAATTATACTATTTTTGAAGAACCTTAAGTACATTTTATGACAGTAATCTAAGTCTAAAATTACACATCTTGTTATGACATGAAAATCTGGAACATGACACCGGGCACACACATGAGTTGGAGAATTGACGGTACAGGCCACCAGATGCACCTGGAACACATTTAAATACTTCGTAAATTAGTGGCCTAATTGGAAACACCGGGGAAAGCTGCTTTTCCCTGGCTGGGAGTTAAGGCCCCGTGCGCTGGAGCGGGCTCTGGCAGCTGTGACAACATACTGCGCTGTTGGGCATCCACTCTAGTGTCTGCAAACGTTACGGATCCCGCTGCTCTGCCCATGAGCTGAGACACGGAGAACTCACCAGCACAGCCTCTGCGACACCGCTGAGTTCATGAAAACCCTTCACGAATTTAGAGCATCCTCCACTAACAAACGGTATCTCAGAATTAAAAAAATCCCAGTCCTAGAAACTGCATCAACATCGATATTCTCCTGATTTTTCCTGATGAGAAAACTTGAGACCGCTTTTCTTTCCTGTTTCCCTAATTGTTTTCAGCTTTAAAAACCGATTGGCATAAAAAATAAGGTCTAATGTACCACACCAGAAATGAACTCAGGCATTTGTTCTGGTCACTATTTTTAAGGCTAAGCATTGGAGTTTAAAAGAACGTGAAGAAATGCAGAAGACAAGGCCCCAAGTAAAGCAGGAAAGAGGAGAGAAAGAGAGGGAAACAGAGCAAAGGGACCGGGACTGTCGCCAACGGCTGCCCCACCGGCGACGGCAGTGTCTGCCCTGAACCCACATCCGCCGAGCTGACGCCTGAAGCATCTCACTTAGACTACTGGTGGACATCACAACAATGAACAAACACACACCGACAACCAACATTCTAGGAGACAGAATGGGAATTACACTTTAGATTTTATTTAAATGCCTAAGTGGTGTTTCCGTTGGGAAATCTTTTGACTAGTTGTCAAAGTAAAAAAAAAAAAAAAACCCAAACAAACCACAACTGTACCCGCGTGCTCCCTCATTCGCTGCTGTCTACCTAGCGCAGTCCCCGTGGTCACCGGGGCTGGCACTGCTCCCTTGAAAGCCCACCTGGGGGCCTTGCTGTCCTCGGGCACCTGCGGGACCAACGCTCAGGGCCTCAGCTGCCTGGGTCGGTTCAGACAGAGGGGGTCCGCCTGGCCCCTCCACGCTCCAGCAGGCGGCCCTGGGCCAGCCCCGCGCTGTCCTCAATCCCAGGCACCGAGGGAGACCAGGCGTGTCGGGGGGAGAGGCAGGGGAAATGGTGTGTGTCACACGCTGACGCGCGGGCCAGGCGCGTGGTGACCGCGCAGATGGGCTGGGATGGCACGGGGATGTCGCGTCCTGCCCTCCCACGGGACTCGGGGACTCTCCCCCGCTCCCTGGCTGGCTCCCTCCGTGGCCCTGGGCTTTGTGCCTGCGCGGTGGGCAGCCTAGGGCCCCGCACCACTGGGGCTGCACCCCGGGGATCGTGTCCTCACGGGGGCCCTTGACCCCCGCCCTCCGCAACGCCGTCTCAGCAGGCGCCCGGTCCCCACTTCTCAGATGGGGACCCGTCGGCAGAAACCCATTTTCCCGCTATCACGACGGAACGCGACCTTTCTTACAGGCGCCCTGACGGCCATGCCTCCATCCCTGGCAGGGACTCCGCGCCTCTGCCTCTGCCTCTGCTCCTGGCGGGTGGCGCGGGGGACAAACTTCTGATGTCACCCACCCCCCTCGGCCTCTCCGCGCCCCGCCCTCCCCACTGGCCACATGTGCTCTGACCCTGCCACCCCAGGCCGCCCGGTGGCCCACGCGCTCAGCACAACGCGCGGCCACTCTGCCCATGCTGAGTCCCTCCTTTAACCGGCTTACGTGACAGTGAACTTCTAGTTTCTGAGTGGGCGCTGTTTCCTTGCCTTCATGCATCTTTCATCTACTTAGTAAATCAATCAGTAAGTTCAGCCAACACGAGGTCGAGGACCCTTACCGATTCTGCAAATGTGGATTCTTTTCCCACCTGGAAAATGCGCCCTCTGAGCCAATTCAGCACCTGAGCAGAGCGGCGGACTCTCTGCATGACAGCACCAGACCGCGCAGGGAGCGGATAAACAAGGCCTTCTGAGCACTTTCCCCGACTTAAATTCCGTACGTCCCGGCAGCGCCACTGCAAAACCCGATGCGGTGCGGAACAGTCTGTCGTCAGTGAGTCCGGGATGGGTTGGGGTGGAAAAGTGAATGGTGACATGGTATTTCTTCTCACGGTCTTTGGTGGGAAAACATTTGCCGGGGCCGAAGATAAGATAAAAACATCAATATTTTGTAAAGTAAAATCTGACTTGGAGATTTAAAAAAAAATTGTTTTATTGGGCTGCAAAAGAGACTTTTAAAATAACTGATTTTTTTTTTCTTAAGGTCTGCATTTGCTAACCCCACGTTCTGTCCCAGCCATTTCTACACTCTGCTGTGTGCGTGAATAATTTAAGTTGAGCTCCGTCTCTGTACCTAACAGTGCGCGAAGGACGACCTGGACCAGAGACTGACGAACGTGCCGCCGGCATCGCCCACGTCGCTAGCACGCGTCCACGGCGCTTTGCCAGGACTCGGCCCCCTTCGAAGAATTCACTCACGTTCCCAATAGTCTGTCTTTGGCAAATGAAATATTACTGGATTTTCAAGTAAAAAATGGATAACGAAATGAAAGGAACTTAGCCACCTGTGATGAAAAATAAAAGTGGCGTCATTTTCTGTTCTAACTTAAAAGACCAGTCTCTGAATTTCAAAGCAGCCACTCCCTGGGGGAGAAGACACTACGAGTAGGACACTTTTACTTTAGTTTTAAATTTTTTCCTTTAGACACTGAACTGAGGAGCCTTTTGGGGACCGGCCTGGGGACACTCCAGGCTGCAGAGGACCCGTGAGCGAGATGAAGAAATGCAGAGAGAGGCTGGGACGGAGGCCGGGGGAGACACCTGGCAGTGGGCAGACAAGCCATCTGGAAACGGCTGGGCTGCTGTGCGCCGGGCGTGGGTTCCGAGCGTCTGCCATGGCGCCGTGCGCTGCGCTTCCCGGCGCTGCCTCAGTCCACTCCCGGGCCAACCTCAGACCTCTCGTCGGGGGGCAAACACGAGCAGGACCAGGAAGGAAAGGTTTGCATGAATCAGAGGTGTCTGCTTTCCTGTTATTAGATTATTGTAAAACGAATTATAATTTGCAGTTTTGAGTTTACTTTTGCATTTGCTCACAACTGTAAAGCAGGCAGACGCGCACCGACACGCAAACGCTTTAAACATGGGAAGCAGGCACAGCGGCCCTTGAGCAACGATGTGGGTTCGCTTTATACCTTTTTAAATCAATTTTACCAATTTATGCGAATTAAACCAAATCGCGTGTCAGCAGACCCTGCACTGTTTAAGGGTCAGTCGTCCTTGGTTGTTTCTTTGCTTTACCTGTAACATTTCCCCAAACGAATATCAATATCTGTATTTACCTTCGAAATTCTCTGTAATGAAGTTTTCTTTCTCCTTTTTTTCCAAAGAAACGTATCTGAAGGGTTGTGTTAATTTCAGGTTCCTTCACTGTTGGTTCCTATAAAAAAACGATGCGGTGATTTCAAGTAATTATAATCAGGAACAAAACTAGATCCTGTAGCCCGGCCTCTCAGGACAGTGTCCACCAAGGACTCCTGTAGTGACAGCGAGGGTGGGAGAGGGGACAGCCGCTCTGTCCGCCTGCTACTCTGCGTCACACCGTGCTAGCGTCCGCTCTGCTCAAGCGGGAGGAAAACGAGGGTGAAAATACTCAAAATAGTCCAGGTGGACTTGAGCCGTAAACGACATTTTAGAAATGTTCGTAGCTTTTGACCCAGCAACTGAACTTCTGGGAAGTTATCCCTCAGATATATTCCCATGTGTATAAAATGATATAGTTACAGGATTATTAATTGCAGCATCATTTGTAATATCAAAAGACTGCGTATATTTAAATCTTTCAAACCAGGAATGGTTAAAGTGTAAGTCCAAACGACAAAGTGCCGTGGGCATGAGAAAGGATGAGACAGTCAGGAAGGTGGGAGGCTGGTAGGTTTGCTCCTGCTCATGTGAAAAGGGAACAGAGGCACAGAGACGCCCTCAGCCACTTGTTCACCTACACGCTTCCATCTGCATAAATGACCTCTGGAATAACACACAGGAAACCGACACACTCACTGGCGAGGGGGACGTGCTGACCGGGAGGAGACTCGTACCCGCAAGGCACACTCTCGTGAACCCTTGCGGGTCTAGGCATGTGCGCGCAGCATATCGACTTCAAACTTCAAACTAGAAAGAATGAGTTCCTGGTAATTTCCCCAAGTATCTGGGATACTGATCTGAACAAACAGAACTGAGACGCACTGTAACGTCGTCTGTCTGGAAATATTGGGTCCTTCTGCACATACCTGGCACTCTGTCTCCTCGGCCGTCGTCCTCAAGTCGTCTTGTTTACTTAAGATCTTCTGCAGCTAAAGGGATTGCAAACAGGAATTTAGATGTGTGTCTACTGGACTTCTCAGAACAACCCAAAAAGCAGATTCTGAGATTTTGTTATAAATTCTATATGTTACTTGTTAAATATTCACTTAAGTTCTTATATTCTAACTGCTAATATTGTTTTTTCCTCAGATCGTATAAGAACCAAAGGAGAAACGAGCTGTCTTACTCAATATGCACATACCATAAAAACTCCGTGATTGTCCTCATCCTTCAAGAGTTTTTACTCATAATTTTTTGTATCACTGATAGTTTAAGGCCACATTTTCAAGTATGTAACTCTTAAAAAGCTATTTATATCATATAAATATCGTTCCTTTACCCTGTATGCATTTATAAAGCATTAAAACAATTTAAAGACCTACATTTCTACTAATTATAAAATTGTCGATAGCACTCTGAGGCTGAGTACATTAAAAAAACCTACCTTTCAGAGTCACCTGTACCAATCCTCATGTGGAAAGCAAATTAAAAAAAAAGTTTAAAAAAATTAAATGTAGACGAAAATCTCAAACTGAATTCAAAGCAATTAAGAGACAACCTTCATCCATTTTCTTTCTGGGCTATTTCTTTGTAATAGTTTTGAAACTGCTGCAATGAAATTCTAAATTAATTATGTCAAATTTAATAAACCCGGTGCAGCTTCTATTATGTTTATTTTAGGCAAGTAGTTTATCTCTAGTTCCCTAAATCCCACAAACTTTTCAACATACCCCATACTTATTTTAGGGAAAAAAGCCAAAAAGCTTTCTACTTGTTTTATCCTTCATTTTTTAGGTTGACAATTGAACAGCACAACACCGAGTTCAGTGCCCAAACATCTGTCCTCAAAGGTTACACCTCCTTTTCGTCCTCAACGCTGATGACACAGACCCTCTTTATCTCTGAGGTGTAACTGGCCGACAATGTCATGCTAGTGCCAGGTGTACAACTCAACGATTCGATGTTCGTGTTCATCACGAAGTGGCCATCAGGTCAGTCAAGTCCAGCTGCCTCCTGTCACCCCACGGAGTCACTACAGTTCTACCGGCTGCATCTTCTGTGCTGCTTGCTACTTCCCCGTGGCTCACTTATTCTGTGCCTGTGGGTTTGTGACCCTTAAGTCCCTTCACCCACTCCGCCCATCTCCCCAGCCCATCCTCCGGCCCACCCCTCCTGGTAGCCGCCAGCTTGTCTCTGTACTGAGCCCGCTTCTGTTTTGTTTTTGATTCTACTCGTGAGATTGTACGGCATTTGTCTTCCTCTGACTTATTTCACGCAGCATGACACCCTCCAGGTCCAACCGTGTTGTCACAAATGGCACGAGTTCGTTCTTTTTCATGGCTGAGTGATATTCCATTGTGCGTGTGTATGCACATATTGTCTATTGATGGACACTTAGGTTACTTCCATGTCTTGAATACTGTAAATAAACAGACATACGGGGGTGCGTATGTCTTTTTGAATCAGTGTTTTGTGTTCTTCGGCTACATGCCCAGAGTGAGACTGCTGGGTGGGTGGAATGGTAGTTCTATTCCTAATTTTTGGAGGACTCCACACTGTCTTCCACAGTGGCCGCACCAGTTTGAAGGGTTCATCTTTTCTGGGTCCTCATTTTTTTTGCTACGTAGGGTACTGACAATGAGTCAGAATTTATAATATAGACAAGTTTTCAAAATAGACATAATAGATGTTACTCATAACATGATTACACTTTTACAGGAAACTCAAAACTTATTTCCCTCAGTCCTGCGACATGTGCCGCGCGTGGGTGTTTTAATCCTCACAGTGTTTCTGTCACACACCCAAAGGCAGCAGCAGCGGGGCCAGCCCGCTGAAGCGAGGATGTCTCGGGGGCCTACTCCATCGCTGGCGTGTCCTGGCGTGGTATGGAGCTTAGAACAACGGTCTCTCCTAGACTCGTCCACCGGGTTTAGTGCCAAGTGGGGCCTGTCATGTCGGAGCCACACCGGACATGTGCTAGTGTGGGCCCTGGGAGCGTCTTAGCGATTGTGGATGTCATGCAGCTGTGACCGCTCCCCTTGGACGGTCACAGACATCGTGCACCCAGGTGTCCTCTGGTGCCAGGCGGTCTCTCCGGTCCAGATACGGCTCTGCAGTGGCTGTCCGTGATGCTGGCTCAGGACAGCAATGTGCCACCTGCCTAAGGGTGCTGACAGTGCCGTTCTACGTACTGGGAACACCGTGGGTATGGACAGAGCATGTGCTTGCTCCCACTGAACTGACATCCTAAGGGGCTTGGGATGACAAAAACGAGTGAACGAACAGGTCAGAGAGTTTCGGATAGTGCCAAATGCTATGACTAGAATCAAATCAAGTGGGGTAACAGGATCCGGGGTGCCGGGCAGGGGTCGCTGTTGGACAGGTTTACATTGGGTGGTTCTCTTTGCGGGCACGACATGTGGGCTTGGGTCTGAATGACTAAAAGCCACTGAAGGCGTGGGGAAAGGACAGTCTGGTGGCAGGAAGAGCCACGTTCGGGCAGAAAGAGGGGTGCTTGGTTAGTATCCAGAGAAGGTAAAGTGTGACATGTGAGCAGTACAGAAGACAGGGGAGGGCACAGTCGCCACATGCAAACTGCATGTCTGGGAAAGCACTGCCAAACCGACTACTTTATAGTGATCTATATTTTCAAGTTCAGGCTGAAAATAGAGGAAAGTATGCGGAGTCGATTTGACTTAATTTTGTTTTCAGATCCTAATAGTTCAAATTCTGAACCAAGGACTCTATCCTCAAATCAAGAAGAATCAAGTCCACCGAAGGCTTTCACAGCGACGTAATGACACCGCCAGCAGGCGCACTTCGCGTGGCGAGATCGTGACACGGCCACAGCCAGCGCACGGACCGGCTACCAGCGCGACGCTCTGTGAAACGAAAGGACTACCTAAGGGGAAACCTGTCCTAGTGAACGGACTCGTCCTCAATCCAGCGTCTGCAGAAACGGCATCGAACCTGGCACTCATCCCAGATCAGCAGGTGTGCCACCGTCAAGGCAGAGACGAACCGGATTAACTGTTACAGGCTCTGATCCCTGCTGGTGGTGTTTATTATCACGACAGGGACCAGCTTACACACTTGTTCTTGGAGTAAAGAAGTAAGCAACACACCTTCCCAACGCAGTTTCTAGATGTGGATATTGTGAAACGAGAAAGCAGCGTATATTCTAGAACGGTTTCACGCAATTTTATACTAGTGTATTTTTTCATCATTATTCTTGCATTCGCTGTTCAAATCACTTTGCTGCGTCTATGTTTTGAGTATTAAAGTAATTCTCATCACTTTTATGGTACTTATGGTAGGAAAAACAATAAGTAAAATTTACTGAAGAAACATTCAGATAAACTAAAAAAACAAAAACAAAAAAACCCTGAACCCCGCCCCTTCCCGCACCTTAAACTGTTCTGTTCTTTCAGTAAAATGCCACACACTTCAGCCCCCTAACACCGTGACCATGGAGGTGAAAGGTCATTCAGATGCTTAAAGGCAGTTTCTTCTCTCCTGTGCCGTTATTTACCCTGCTCGCTGTACCATGGCCATGGGTTATCAAGTTCAGTGTCGTTTCTAAGATCGGCACAAAGAACCTTTTGCAGGCTTAGAAGATTGACCTTTTCAACTTAAAAAAAAAAAAAAAAATCAGTGACATGTCCTAAGATTCTTTTTCTTGTTTCCTGAATTCATGAGTTGATCATCCGAGAACTTTCCCAACATTTAAGGGAAACGCTGCAGGTTCCGGGGTGTGTTCCATAAATGTGGCGCATTCTTATTCCGTCAAAGTGCGACCTCACAGGAGGCGCAGGGTGTCTGGGGCGGAGGCTGTGGGAGGCGGACCTGAGAAGGGGTGGGCAGCCAGGTGCCCTCTTGCCGTCTGCAGCT